ACCATCCACAATCACAAGGAAAGGTAGAGCGTAGCCACCGTTCATTACGATCAAAGATTGAATACGACTTCACCAGARTGGGGAAAAAGGGCCTTAATTGGGTTAAAGCCATTCCAATTTACCAWAGAATTTTAAATGATGACCCAAAAGAAGTAATTGGACATAAAACGCCCTTTGAAGTATATTACGCCAGGGTAAGTAATTATCCTAAAGCATCCTTAGATGCCAAAACGAAGGGGAATAGAAAGAGAAAGTGYGAAAAGGAAAYTAACGAACATCTTCAAAAGGCTTCTTCCTTACGAAAAGTTGCCAAAAAAGCAACTGAACGCTGCAACCGAAGAATGATCAAGAAACATCTTAAGGCCAATCCTCCATCAGAGTACGAAATCGGTGAAAAGGTTTACATCCGTTTATCAAGGAAAACGAAAMCTTTGCAGAAAAGGCGCTTCGTCTTAGAGGCAGTAGTATTAAAAAGGAACCCAAAAAGACACTCCTACAAGGTCAATTACAAATCGCCATCAACTGGGAAGACCATACAAAAATGGCTGCAGGTTGACGATATCACCAGTCTTACCCTCAAAGAAGAAAAAAGAAAACAACAGGTCGCAAAATCAAGACAACAAAGCAAAATCATTGTGGAAGGYCATCGCAAAAAATACTATATTCCTCTAACGAAAGATGACTYAAGAAATARYATAGTAGATCAAGGATACACTATTAGTTTCGACCCAGTAGGAGATGGAAACTGCCAGTTTGCTGCAATTGCCCATCAACTGCGCAAAATTGGAATCCTGYGCTCTCCTGAAACGATGAGAGAGGAAATTGTCCGTTATCTACAGCAGAATGAAATAGACGAACATGGTCTCTCTTTGCTGTCATATTTACTCGGGTTTAATTCTTGGGAAGACTATATGAAATATATGTCACAAGACCAAACATTTGGAGACCAACAAACTCTGTTTGCTGCTGCAAATCTTTTCAATGTCAACATCCAAGTTGTATCTACATTGGGTCAGGGAGCAAATCACCTATTTCAACCRACATCTAGCAATGCCATCACTACAATCTACCTTGGGCATTTTGCAGAACATCAAGGTGAGCATTATGTAAGTCTTGACGCAACAAATAATAATTCGATGTCTTCTCTTGATGAACGGTTAACAGAAAATCAAGACGAATATTCTACCTGTGTCACTCGAGCACATTCTGCATCTTGCAATGATGAGATAT